GTTTGTGATTATGTGTAATGTTTGTGATTATGTGTAATGTTTGTGATTATGTGTAATGTTTGTGATTATGTGTAATGTTTGTGATTATGTGTAATGTTTGTGATTTTGTGTAATGTTTGTGTCTGTGTGAAGGACGTCTCGGTAGTTTTTTATTTTTATTTTTTTCAGCTCCCTCCCTGACTTGAACTCGTTCACGGTTCGACTGCAGTCATGTCTGGTTCTGGGGACCTGCCAGGTGAGCTGAATCTAAGACGATCTCTTTTTTCATGTTTATTTTCTGAGATGTTCTTTGTAAGCTGCTGGAGACAACAAACCTTTTACTTAAAACATCCCACAAGTGAAGAAAAACTGACATTTTGTTGTGAAATGTGTTGAAAACAGTGGTAAAAAAGAGAGAACGTGTCGGAGAAAAGGAGCTGATAGGTTTGTTTGTTTGTTTGTTTGTTTGTTTKTGTCTGCAGCCATCGAGGGTTCTGGGATGGGCGGGATGAAGCTTCCCGTGGGAATGACTCGACGGGCCCTCAGCTACGACGACAACCTGGAGGCCCCCATGTCCACGCCGCCCCACGACATCAGCATCAACAACCTGTGGAAACGCCCCGTCATCCCGCCCAGGAAGTTCTCCCAGCTGGCTGAGGTGAGGCTCTGCAGCGCCACACCTGGACCGCTGGGTTCTGTTTGTTTATCTTGTTTCCCTCCTCAGGAGGAAGAGGGCGGAGCCTCCAAGCAGGCTGCAGGGCAGGACAGCGCCACCTTCAAGACTCCAGCTGTGGTCAAAACTAAAGCCTCTTCTGTCATCATGARCTCTCTCATCACCAGTGAGTTTTCTTCTCAACACTTCCTGTTTGTGTTGTTCTGGTTCCGTTTATTAATTGATTTATTGGACTCGATGTTTGAACGTGAAGCCTGACTCCCGGACTTCTCGTCTCAGAACAAACTCAGGAGAGCATGTACAAGTTTGAGCAGCAGGCCGGACTGACGGACACCAGCTACACTCCTCACAAAGGCCTGACAGCTGAGGAGACGAGGCACCACCACCGCATCCCCGAGTCCCTGCAGGTGAGTGTCAGGAAGCCCCTCCAGTCCACCTCAGGTCCAGCTCCGGTCAGTTGTCTGCTCGCACGTATCAGAACTTTAAGACCAACATGTGACACTTCCTGTGCAGAAAATGCAGATCCAGAATTTGGAGGTGAAAGAAGAGAAGAGCTCCTCGGCTCAGTCCACTCCGTCCAACACTCCTCACAGCTCCCCGAAACAACAACGCAGGTACGTCCCAGTCCACGGCTCAGGATCCGGTTCGTAAAGGACCGACCTCCGTCCTGGTCCAGCTGCTCACTCTGAGTRTTCTGGATTAGGGGCTGGTTCAGCAGCGCCGGTTCAGAGGTCAGCCTCGGCTCTAACAGCAGCATGGACGCCGGAGGCGGGGACTCGGCTGCGGGCGGCGCCGTGGAGCGGTGGGGCGTGTTTGGACCTCGGCTGCCYGTCCAGAGTCAGTCCTCAGACCTGGGATCAGACGCTTCAGCTGCAGGTGACGGCTTTCATCAGTTTCACTCATAAAAGTGTTTAAATGGGAACAAAAAGCTTTAATTTAATATAAAACATTTAACATTTTAAAACTGGATCTGTTTGTTTCACTAACGGTCGGATCAGGATCTGAGTTCAAGGATGAAACTTCAGACTGACAGTAAACACAGTCCTGTTTGACCAATCTGTCGTCTCATTGGTGTAAAGCTTCTGTTTGTCTTTAAATACAGTCAGATTCACAGTTTCACACAAACTGCTTTAGATCGTCACTCATGGGGAGTTTGGCTCCGACACACAGTTTTCAAATCTTTTTTCCAGGATGACTTTAGGTAAGAAATGTTTCTGTTCAAGTGATGATTCCTGATTATTTAAACCAATCTCCTGCTCAGAATGTGGATTCTGCTTTATATAGAATATAATATAAAATAAGAGTTTCAGTTTATTTTACACAAAATAAAAAAAACTTTTATGAGTTGAAAATGGAGGGAAAAACAAAAACTAATTTTACTTTATGTCAGTATTCAAAAAAAGACCAATATTTGTTGTTTGATTAACCTAAAGTCTTAAAGATAAATCACTTTTAATTTGGGTAGATAAATATTGAACCGTTCAGTTATTCTGTTGTCTCATTGTGGTTTTCATTTCATCTCTTCCGTTATTTTGGACAAAGCAACCAAAAAATAAACTTAAAAACAAACAAAAAATACTTAAAAACAAAAAAATACACTAGAACATTTTAGACAACTTATGAATAATTTTTACATCTGAATTACTAATAAAAGTTAGATATTCGATGAGTTTGTTAGCATTACAGTATTTACATGCCTAAAAGAGGCTTCCAGTTGATCTTATTTTATTCCTCCTTCAACATGGATGTCTTTTAAAATTTGTGTAAATTGGCATAAGTTGTCTAAAACTTCATAACGAGACTGGAACTTAAAAACCCAGTCCTGTTATCTGCTGGTCCACCATGCTGTAAGAGGGTCCACCATGCTGTAAGAGGGTCCACCATGCTGTAAGAGGGTCCACCATGATGTAAGAGGGTCCACCATGATGTAAGAGGGTCCACCATGCTGTAAGAGGGTCCACCATGCTGTAAGAGGGTCCACCATGATGTAAGAGGGTCCACCATGATGTAAGAGGGTCCACCATGCTGTAAGAGGGTCCACCATGATGTAAGAGGGTCCACCATGCTGTAAGAGGGTCCACCATGCTGTAAGAGGGTCCAACATGATGTAAGAGGGTCCACCATGCTGTAAGAGGGTCCACCATGCTGTAAGAGGGTCCAACATGATGTAAGAGGGTCCACCATGCTGTAAGAGGGTCCACCAGGCAGTGTAGAACCCAAACTCAGCCTGGTTGGTTTGTGTCGTAACACACTGTTTGTTGGACTCTGGCTCAGAGGGTCCATGTTCCCGTCCCCTCAGTGAGAGTCTGACCTGTTCAAATAAAGACTGGTTTTAGTCTCTGGTTCTTCAGATCCTCTGTATCTCAATCTGAACACACACTGTTTTGTTTCCCAGCAGGCTTTGCTCTGCAGGCGTACCGTGGAGCCCAGAAGCCGACCCCCATGGAGGTGATGAAGTCCCAGGCCACCCGGCTGTCCGACAACCCTCAGAGGGTGTCCCCGCCCAAGATGGAGATCCCCACCATGGACGGTCGGCGTCAGGGGGCACGTCCACACAAGCTGAAACACCGAGACATGAACATCCTGACGCCGTCCGGCTTCTGAAGAGACGACCGCCGCCAGGCTCTGAAGGTCCCATCGAATGAAAACCTGACACTGTTTATCCCTTTTCTGTGCACGCCCAACTTAACCCTTCATAAACACAAATCACTTAAACTGTTAAACTTATTTTATCAAGAATAAAATGACTCGAATTATAATTTCCTTCTGCTGATTCAGCCCAGATTTCTGACTCAATGTCTGAATCTGCAGGCAGCTACAGCTGGCTTTAACTCAGTGTTCCCTGTAAGAAATCATTTAAATAATTGTTTTGGGTTTCTCAGAGTTCTGTGTAACCATCTGCAAGAATATTTAAAACCAATAATGGACCAACTTTAGGTATGTTCTTCCAGATAATGTGGATTATATAATGAGTTGTTTACACCTCCTGTTTTCATGTGAGCTTTTTGTTTTTGGCTCCTCTGTGTTCAGATCAGGCTGAACTCTGACCTGTTTCCACTGACTTCTGTCACGTTGATGACACTTTTACCCTCTTTCTTTCTTTCTTTTCTTGTATTGTACAGTTTAGTGTTTATTTCCTCTGCCCGGTCATTTCATGGGACCTTTAAACCAGCTGTAAACTTTCTGTCCTCTTCACCACCAAAACAAATCAACATAAAGAGAAAAAAGTGGAACATTTCCATTTGTGCTGCTTTCGTGTGTAAATCTTGTAGCTGTGCTGTCCGATCAGACTCTTGATGTTTATCTTGTATCAGAAATGTTACGTCGAGCTTCAGCGTTTAAAATAGTTTAGCCTGAAACTGAAAGACTTCTTCAGCTGAKGGTGAACCGTATGTTGGTCCCAGTTTTAACAGATCTTTAAAAATGCACTTTATCGCCACCAACAGACCTTCACAGTGCTCTACCTTTTGAATTTCTCTCATGAGCCTGAAAGACCAGTTAGAAGTTCAGCTCGGCTGCTGAGAACGAAGAGACGGAYTGTAAATATTGGTACTCGTGTTTATTTCTTATTATTTCACCAGTTTTTGACCACGACTGTTAACCCTGATAACCCCGAGTGTTTGGACCGTAGCTACGTGACTGACGGCTTTTTGTTGAAATGTTTAGATGTTGTGAACTTTACGTAAGCTATTGTTGGAGCTTCGTTCTTATTCGTTTGTAGTTTTAATAAGAAATGAATAAGTTTATTCTCAAAGCCGAGCTGAACGGACCTCTGAAGGTTCTTGTTCTGGTTTTGTTAGCACATGAGCCCGAGGTATGACGAGTGTTACGAATCCCTCAAAGTTGGGATTATTSTGAACTTTCCACTTCAAAGTGTGCAAACAGAGTGAAGCAACACCCAGAGTTAGTTTCTGCAGCACCAAATGTTGTTCAAAGAAAGTRATGAAACTGTAAACAGCAGAAACATGAGCGTTCTGCTTTAAATGACCAAATACATCGTTCTGTTAAACAGGTYTTTAGTGTCCTCCTCCTGCTGGACCTTACTTTTCATTTGTCTGGGACAAAAAGGTGCAAACATTTATTAAACCAACAAAACAACTCATCCAGATTTATTGTAAAAGTTTTCTCTCAGGAATATTGGTCACTGAAAAGTTAAATGTGGTAATAATGAAATGTTTTTGTACAGTTCTGTTGTTTTTCTCCTTCTGTTACTAAAGACTTCATTCCATTTGGAGAAAACSTCCTTTGTGGTTCTGTTTGAGCACTTGAGTGTAAATATTAAATGTCAGGTTTGTGTTTCTGAACATGAAACAGAACCAGAACAGAAAAACAGAAAATTAAGTGTATTTTTACGTTCTTTTTTACAGATACTTTGATTTAACTGATTCTTTTTATGATTTTTGGAGATTAACAGTTTATCTGGGCTGAAACGATTAGAAAAACATTTGAACAGAAAAAAAAATTAGAAACATTTTCATCCATCCTGAAGTTGCATCAAACCTTTTTGTTGCACTCGATGCTGATGACGCCTGATTTTATCTGTAAGATTATGTACAAATTAATAAGTCTCTGGCCTTGTTTTATTAGTTCCACATTTATTTTGAAGGGAAACCGTCTGTTTTCTGGTCATTTACTCCTGTATAAYAGAACCATGGCTTAGTCTCTGTTTTCGAAGTGAAAATTAGAAGTTTGTAACTCTACTGTGGTGTTGGTCTGCCTCTCCCTTTCATCACAAGTTCAACCAACTTTGTGTTTCCTGTTGGACACATTCTGTTTCAGTTTTATTACCCATCCTTTAAGTCTCTGTCCTGACTTTATTTTGACTGTTCAACATGAATATAAGATTTATTGTCTTYGATTTTTAGTTTCTGTACAGTTTAGTTTACTTTGCCAGCAGAGTTTGACAATAAATGTWACATTCTCACTAGAGAAAAACAAGTCTGAGTTCGATTATTTTTGGTTTAAAAACTTTATTAAAACAAGTTTTCATTTCACCTCACAAAGACAGAAACTTTCATGTTTAACTCGTGACTTTTCCCACAGATCCTTTGACCATTTTAAACTTCTAAAATTCAAGCATGTYTGACTTTATTCATGAAGTAAAGTCATTGTTTTATTGAAAAAGTGGCGTCATGCAGAGGASAGGGACTTTGTACAATTTATTTATTTGTTTCAAGTCCCAGAAGAAACAAAATACTTAACAGTCTGAAAGCTGCAGGAAGAATAAACCTCCTTAGCTAAAACTATAGAATAATTCTACCTCCTYGGGTAGACCCAGAGCTCACTGGAGGGATTATATTTCCTCCCAGGCACTGGAATGCCTTAGGATTCCCTGGACTGGATGGTATCATGGGGATCAGAAAGTCTGGGTTTCCTTTCTGGACCTGTTTCCTTCAGAAGCCAACCAAAGACACATGGAAGAGAGAGGATGGATTTTAATCTAGCTCCAGTAGAATTTAATGCTACTTTAAGGTTTAACCGGGAGTCGTGGATCCTCATCGATTGATCCAAACCTGTCAGGAAATATTCTTCATCGTTCCCGCCACATTCAGATGCTTCCTCCKCCTCTTCCTCCTGTGTTTCCTCCTCTTCTCCTGATTTCTTCGCTCATTCGGAAGAACAGCTCCATCTCTTTCTGCAGACTGGTGTTCCTGCGATCGGCGTCRGCTTTGGCTCTTTCCATGTTTCGAATCTTAATCTCGGCAACGCTCTGGCTCCGCCTGTGCTGCTCCAGACTGAGCCGAAGAACTGAAACCTGCCTCTCGAGAACGTCGTTGCTTMGCTCCAACCTGCAGCCCACAGACACCAGAGAGGACACAAGTCTTAATAATCATACTCTGCATTTTACACCTCTGGAATACAAGTCAAATGAGTGTGGAAGGTATTATGTATGTGAAGAACTGATCCATTTTGTGGTAGACTTGAAACTAAATGCCATCAAGACACCAGGAACTCTGTTTCACTCGTGAACTCCAAGATACTTTTAACGTCTTTGAGGAGTTAAATATTTGAAGCTTTGCTCATGAGTGATGGCAGGATGGAGCATGGGATGAACAAACTGATGCTTTCTCCTCAGAAATGAGGGCTCAGTTCTGGTGAACTAATCTCAAACCATCTATAATCATRGATTATGGATCATGACTGAAATAACGAGATCTCGAGAAAGTTCTGAGTCTGCTGTGTSTAAAGAAGAAGCACCTGATTAGTACGCCTCCTTCTGGATGGTCTACTGACCCCAGGGTAGACCCATAACTTACTGGAGGAATTTTACTGGATCTCCATTCTGACCTGGGCTTCAGGACCCTTCAGGAGAATTTGGAGAGGGTTTTCTGWGTTTCCCAGGCCTGACCTGACCTCAGCTTAAACATGGATGGACAGGATGGATGAGACAAGACTCTGAGCTGGGGTAACAAATGGAAATCTGGTTTATTAATGAGAGAAAAGCAACACCATTTGTCTCCTTGTGCCTGTATCTTACCTTTCGATTTTCCTTTGGTACTCGGCCTTCTGTTGGGCCATCTGCTGCCTCAGTTTGGCCACTATTGAATAATTGTTTCGGATTTCTGATGAAGTCTCTGGTCCCTGGAGATCTGAAGGACCAGAGGGGAGGAAGACCTCTGAGCTCCCTGTACTGAGAGGGCTGACACTGAATACAGAGCCAGAAGCCCAGGAGTTTGGGTGGTGTGTGTTTATGTTACGGTTGTCTTTATGAACGGTTTCTTGTTCTACTTTCGCAGTTAAAGGCAACTTTTCAGGGGTCTTCATTGGGTTTTCAGGACTAACTGCCCCCACATCGTCACCACCGTCGTCCAGTGGTAGAACTTCACAGGAAGACCACGAAGATGAGGATTCTCCTGCCTGCTCTGCTGCAGATTCACTAGTTTCWTTGTGACGTTCTGCAGCATTGGAGTCAGGAGCGTCCTTCACCGTTGGACACATAGATGCTCGGTCCAGGTTGTCGTAAGGAGAAGGTGTGCTGTCCTGTGCCTCACTGCTGCCTCCGCTGGCCGGTTCTGACATCAAACCTGCTTTTTCTGCACCTCTACAGCTCCAGAAAGCTAAAGCTGTTTTGTCTGGGTGTGGCCATGCCTTTGCCCCTCCCCTCAGCGTCACAGTTTGAGAGCTGTCCTGCTGTCGCTGGAGGTTGGTTGTAGAAACATTTGCAGGAGTTGATGCATGGTGATAATCTCCACTGGGTCTGTCTGAGTCATCCTGAATGGAGTCATTCGAGGCAGGAGGGGGGAAGCAGCAGTTCCCAGGGTGGGAGGAGGTGTAGCGATGGCCGATGTGTCTCTTCTGGTCCGAGGACAAGTCTGATGTTCCAGCCGCAGAGAAGGCACAGCTGAAGAAAGCAAAGGACAATTTTGAAACTCACTTTAGCAGCAACATTAATGTGAAATGAGGGAATAAAATATTAGACAGTATGTCCTCTTAGTCATACACATTTAAAGAACAAAACTTAAATTAAAATTCCTCGGTGATTAGCAAATAAAATGAGTTGAATGCACCAAGATGTCTGAACTGAAGAGCTTTCCCAGCTGAGATTTTGCCAGTTTGCACCTTCAAGGTTTTCTGTTAGAAGTAAGACCTTAAAATGTGACCATTTTCTCCTCAAGGGTTCCAAACCAGTTGCTCATTGGTTGACWGGTCTTTGCCAGATCTGTCAGCGTATTTCACCTGGTTGCAGCCGGTTCCATTTCTGTTGAGTGGTCCGCGATCAGAGGCAGAGACAGCTGGCGAAGGCAAGTAGATGGTTGGAGGTGCGCCTGCTTCAGAGGGGAAGCGTTCAGACTTCGAGGTGGACGGACGTAGACGGGCGGAGGTGCTTTGGCAAAGAGAGACTCATGTTCTCTGATGAGCTCCAACATCAGTACCTGGACCAGAGCTGCACCTGGAACCCAAACAGGAAGAGAAATACGCCTCATCAACAGAAATCTGTCTCAAGGATCTCAAGAGCTCATTTTAAGGTTTTACAGTGAACTGGATGGATGAATTACTTTTTATGTACCAGCTGGTACATATTGTTGTGCCACAATGAGGTTCATATTTTGAAACAAGCAACATAAAAACCGGCTGTGTCTCAATTCCTRGGTTGCAGTTGATGTAGACCGCGGTCGACGTTGACCACAGTCTACTTTGGGTTCAACCCATGAATTGAGACACAGTGAATTTGTAGAAAATACTGGCAGCAGATTTACCTCCCATGATGCTTTGCGGGTCTTCAGTTTTTGCTCGGAGGATGTTTGGCCCAAAAACGGTAGCTAAATTCTGGACGGTCATCTTATTACTGCTGGAGTAACTCTGGACCTCATTCAGAAACCTGCAGACATGCCCAGTTCGACTCGTCATAAAAAACATTACATTTTTAGTTTAACAGATTAAAATGTCGAGAAGACAATCATACTGGCAGATAAAGTTGAGGAGATTGAAGTTTGCAACTGGTAACTCATGAAGAAGATTCCTCAACTCCAGTAGACCCTGGAAGAAGAGGCCAGGTGTAGAAAATATTAGAAAGTATTAGACATGTGTGGTGTTTTTCTTTCATTGATTGTTAGACATGAACACCAGGATACAGTGAGTTTGTGGTGAGCAGCGCTGCTGTTACCAGAGTACGGTCTTTGGACAACTTCTGGCCGCAGAGCAGGAAGTCCTGGTAGTGGCAGTAAGGAACCAGAGGCTCCGGCAGCTGTCTGAGGTAGAGCTTCAGCAGCGACGCCACTGTGTGGACGTCTGTGCTGCTGCGCGCACGCATGAATAAAAACAGATTTTGAAAAGAACACCTGAAAAACACTACAAGAACAGCCAAGGGGTCGTACCTGTCGAAAGATGGCCTCTCCCCTGAATCAAAGGCTTCCTGCAGCTCTTTGACCAGACTGGTGCGTCCAGGTTGGCGAAACAAGCCCACCTCGTGCAGGCCACGCTCCAGGATGAAGGTCACACACTGCTCCACCACCAGGGGGACCAAACGTGTCCCRTAGCGACGCTCATACAGGACCGTCTCCTCCAGACGCTGCCCAAAGACCCCTGCAGGAGGAGGTTCACAGAGATCCCCCCGTGAAGCTGTGACCAACCAGTTTGAGTTTGCTTTACTTGGACCAGACTTTTTCACAGGGGAATGTTTAAACATACAACTTGTTTGTAAAATCAAGTTTGAGCTTACTGTCATGTTTGAACACCAAACTGATCCACTTTTAACCAATCAGCTGTTGATTTGGAGGTAGAACACTTGATGATATACCACCACCATGCTTCACTGTTGACTCATAGTAAGAAAGCCTCATATTACCTAAACAGTTTAGGTCCCTGTTTTTTTTTTTTTTTGTGTGTGTGTGTGTGTGTACTTGTTTTGACTGCAAAGTGAGGACCATTTGCACCATGGTTACTATCAAAGTGAGGTCTTTATGTAAAGTGAGGACCTTTTCAATGTCCTCTTGTTTGCAGCTCTACTGTGCTTTACTAGTTAGGTTTAGAGGTATGGTGTGAATTACGTTCTGGTTCAGGTTAGTGTTAGTTATGGACCAGTAAAAGTTAGTTTTAGGGAAAATGTCTGGGTTAGGCATAAATACAGTTAGAAAAATGAATGGAAGTYAATACTAAGTCCTCAGTTTGATGCAAATACAAGGATGTGTGTGTGCACTTGTTTTTGTTGACTATTAAGGACCATATCTAGTATACACATCTACTTTGTCAAGACCAGTAGTCCTAATGGGGACCAAAGACTGGTCCTAATATGGTGGAACTCCATTTTTGGGTTTGGGGTTRGGTTTAGAACCAAGGTGTGAATTGGGTTTAGGTTAGTTTTAGGGTAAATGGTCAGGGTTAGGAAATAAAATTTCCAAAAAAATGAATGGAAGTCAATGCACGGTCCCCATGGGGATATAAAAAACAGATATGTGTGTGTGTGTGTGTACCAGTAAAAGGGATCCAGACCCCCTTGTTGAGGCTCTTCAGCCACTCGTCACCCTGACCTGAGCTGTTGGATAAGAAGAAATAGGATCCCGGGCTGGCCAGCACATCTCTGTTACCTACAAACACAACATGGAGGTTTTTACTGACCCGCTCAGAACTCAGGAAGGACCCGAGTCCCTGATGATAATTTAAATAAAGTCCTGGCTGCACTTTAATATTAGAACAGAATCAGGCAGCTTTTTGTTASTTTCTCTTATAACTGTCCTCTCTGTCCACCTCAGTGTCAGCTCAACACCATGACTCAGCATTAAACAGGTCCTGAAGGATGGTCTACCTGCTGATGGTTCGTTCTGAGTCCTACCTTTGTGGCCTGAAGTGTCATATTTCCAGGACTTGAAGCAGCTGAGTCCCATGCTGCAACGCTCCCGGCCCGGTTCTGGATGCTCTGTGCAAAAACTCTAGAGTTTTTATGAGAATTTCAGATTATTAAAAAGATCCCTTCAGCTGTTTTTTCATCATCTTCATCGGGGAAACTTCCTGAGTGTGTCTCGTTCGTTTTGATTTGGAGGCAAAGGAAGAGAAACACCATAAAGACCGGSCTGGTTTTTATTTTTCAGGAATGGATGGAGGTCCTGTTGGTGTCCAGAAACACAGAGACGTCCATGATGTGAAGATTCCAGCTGGAGAAGTTGCTTTAAATAGTTAAACTTGCTAAAAATGTAGAAAAACCTGAGTTGTTCAAACTAAAAGTTCAWAATTGATCAAGTAACGTGTTAAATAAAACACACGTGGACAAACATGAAGAAATTAGAATGATGAGAATTAAAAAAGCTAAATTGAAGAACATTTCTCCAAAACTCAGCCATACCTCGATGGACAAAATGTTTTAAAAACCCAAGAAGAGACGTGAGTCGACTGATTAGTGTTCATTTTGTTCTCTACATGCTCATTTGTAAMGTTTCCTGAAAAGACTGAGAGGAGCTGGGATTTAAAAAACGGTTCTTGTGTGAAAAACCTCCTTCAGTCTGAAAAGGAACGTTCCAAAACTGCAAGAACCTGCTCTCAATGAGGAGGAGTTCTCCATCGTTTGATCAGGGTAGATCCTGGATATGAAGACATGATTCGATGAGACAAATGTTCCTGAGAAGTTCCTCCAGGAGGGTCCAGAACAAGAAGATTCATCGACTCTAAAAATCCTCAAAGCTTCTAGATGAGTCCGAGCAGCAGAGGTGACTTCTCTGACTTGGTTTCTTTAAACATGGYCGTCATCTTTTCCTCACTTCTCTCAGGTCTCGTCCTCTCAAACCGTCCYGGTGGAAGTTTGGTCCCATCGTCTTTTGTCCTCAGCTCAGACCGCTCCGTCCTCCATATTAGTATTCCTCCCTGCATCCCTTCTCCTCTCCCGTCTCCTTGTGTCCTCTGCTTTATTAGCTCTTTAACGGGACACCCCGCTCCGTTTTCACATCACTGCCCCGCACATCTGGACGTCCACATCAGCCCTCACTTCATGTCGTCCCTCTCAGGTTGTCCCTGTCTTTGTCCTCTGAGAAGTTGTCTCCTTCCCACCAGTCCTCCTCTCTTTCTCTCTTCATTTCCCAGCAGAGTGTGTGGCCCTTGTTGCTCCCCTCCTCATTTACCTCATCAATAACCGTGTGTGTGTGTGTGTGTGTGTGTGTGTGTGTGTGTGTGTGTGTGTGTGTGT